CCCTTAAAATGTGTATATTAACCCTTCACTGGCCAGACTGGCAGAAGCCCCAACACAGGGATGGCGGATCACAACAACCCTTCCATCAGAAGAGTTCCCCTTTATACATCTCAGACTAACGGGAGCCCACACCCCACTACTACTCCCATCATCCTAATAGAAGGGGAGCCGCCCCGACACCCCACTACTACTCCTACTCCCATCATCCTAATAGAAGGGGACCCACTCCGACACCCCACTACTACTCCTACTCCCATCATCCTATCAGACTAATAGAAGGGGAGCCGCCCCGACACCCCACTACTCCTACTCCCATCATCCTAATAGAAGGGGAGCTGCCCCGACACCCCACTACTACTCCTACTCCCATCATCCTATCAGACTAATAGAAGGGGAGCTGCCCCGACACCCCACTACTCCTACTCCCATCATCCTATGAAAATATTTCTCCATTTCTCTCTCTATAATACCCAACTGCCCCCCCTAGCGGCCTCCATTCTACAGAATATTCCATCAGATTGATGAGGGCCGGTTGGATCGATGGGAGCGGGGGGATGGTTTCAGCGGGAGGACCGATGGGAGCGTGCGGGGTGTGTGGGGGGTCGGAACGATGGGAGCGGGGGGATGGTTTCAGCGGGAGGACCGATGGGAGCGCGCGGAGTGTGTGGGGAGTCGGACGCACCGGAGTGACAATTTGGAGACGTGGACATTTCGGATGGGATCAGATCTCTGAATTCCATTGATGGGAATATTTGGGAATAACGGGTCAGGTGACCGGCTCCGGGAGGCGGATTTCCTGGACGATGTCGCAATGAAAAAATGTCCATAATGGGTAAAGCAGACGATCAGCATTGCGGTCTACCCAGAATGCCGCACTACGCCGGGCGAGAGCAATGACACTAAACCGCATCCATAATAACAGATCAGCCCAAGATAGAGGAGGGGGCCACACAGTCTCTTCAGATCTACCCGATGGACCCCCAACACCCCCTCCCATCTATAATCCCACCTCCCGAACACCCCCACTTCCTGATTGACCCCTACAGCCCTCCAGGACAGCCTCATCCAATGACATCACCCTAAGGTCCTCCAATGACATCACCCTAAGGTTCAACAAATGTCAGCTTTTTCCTCCCTACACCTATGCTAACAGACGTGCTCCGTATAATACTGCGCCGCAGACTATGGTGGCGATATACAGGAGGGTCTTACAGCTATATTCATGTCCGGACCGCCCAGGAGGCAGCGCGGCGAACCTCGTTGCTATGGGTTACCGTGTCAGCGTGCACTCCAGAGATCCGGGTGCCACCTTGTTGCTATGGGTTACCGTGTCAGCGTGCACTCCAGAGATCCGGGTGCCACCTTGTTGCTATGGGTTACCGTG